GGGAAAGGAGGCAGGAAGGCATAAATTGAGAGTTCAAGGCTTGTAAATATTAACTGCTATATATAAAAAATAGATAAAAACCCCAAATTTCTTCTGTATAGCACAGGGAACTATATTCAATATCTTGTAGTAACCTATAATGAAAATGAATATATGTATATAATATATATATATGAAACATTATGCTGTAAACTAGAAATTGACACATTGTAATTGACTATACTTCAATTAAAAAAAAATTTAAGGGGGTGCCAAAAACTCAGTAATCAACATAAAGAATATTTTAGTGCCATATTTTAAAGATCACAATTAATGCAAAAATTAATAATCAACAAAATGTCAAACATTTAAAGAAAGATAGGATGGGTATTACAGATTTTGCCTTTTTTCTCAAGCTCTCATTTGACTCCGCACAGCACTGGTACTGATCCCTTAAGGAAGGAGAGGAGCTGGGGTTAGCATTAGTGAGAGATACAGAGAGACTGAGGGAGGAATGAAAAACTCACAGTATGCTGTTAAGCAGATAAGCTTGGCTGGGACAGAAGGTCTAAACAAGGGGACAGTAAGAGATAAAGAAGGGAAAGGGGGAAAGAGATATGACAGTCATTGAGGGTGAGAGGGAGAGTCACAATGAGAAATAATAGGCAAGATCTGTCATAATAGATTATCCAAAAGGCCAGGGAGTGTTCCATAAAAATCACTATAGCCATAGGGTAGAGGACGGGTGGTAAAGGGCAGAGATTTCCTTTGGGAAGCCAGTCAGGATAGATATGGGGTGGACAGAGGTGCCTGCTAAGGGACTAATGTGGCAATGAAAAAGAAACGTTTCCAAAAGACATTACAGATAAAGAGAACTGGCAGAAAAATCATTTGGATGCGAGGAGAAAGGAAAAGAAGAAAGAATAGCCACCTGCCAGACTTCTGGGTGGATCATAGTCAGAACTGCCCACGAGGACATCTTCAGCAGCAACTGGCATGGAGGGTCTGGAGGAACACTGAGGAACTGAGTAGGAGAGACAGTCTTGGGGGTCTTGTGCGTATGTGGGAGATTTGACCCCAGTTGAAGCCAATTGCTCAAAGGTAGGGACTCAGAAATAATGAATGAAAGGTCAAGAATTTGCTTTTCCCACTGAGTGTTCCCCCAAAATATAATGCTGTTTGCATTTGGAATAACAAGTCTTCGTCCTGTGGAATTGCTCTGTGTAGCCCAGAAGATAAGCATTCTTTCTCCTCTCACTTCCTGCCACCTCCCTCCCATTAAATGCCAGTAGCATTTCACTGGACAACTGGAAAGGGCCCCACATATGTTCAAGTTCCCCCCAGAATGTGGTTCCTGCCCCTTCAGCCCATTGAGAACCCTTCTGGAGAAAAAGAAAACCTGGATTCAGAGAAAGAGTTGTCCAGAAATAACAAGTGTGGCAAAAAATCCAAAGGCAATAGGGTTCCCCAAGGGAAGGTACTCAGAGGTGTCAAATGTAACAGAAAGATCAAAGAATAAGGACACTTTGAAAAACAAAAGACACCTGGGGAGGTGTTTCTCATAACACCTTCAGTTATTCCCAAACAGTCAGGTCTTGTCCTATACGGTAAGTTATTGGACAGTTGTATTTTTTCAGACAGGACCCAATTTTTACGCTTCACTGTTAGGCTCACATTGGGACAGTTATACAATCTGAGAATCTAGCTCTGTGAAAAATGCCATATGTCTAATGTATGTATTATTTGTACATATATTTGTATATGTATCTGTAATATGGCCTGATTCACAGGAAGAGCTTGGTTTTTATAGTAAAAAATGTTATCTCATTGTTGTTATATACCCATTAATGCCATCTGCGAAGCTAGCAGTGGGATGACAATATGCAAATATCTGGAAACTTAGCTAACATTTTCCTTTTACTTTTTTCTAAATGTAAAGACTATTTTTGTGAGTGTGTGTGGAAATAAAAGGGCAACGCCATGATTTAAAGCTGAACTTGCCCAACTAGATACATGATAATTTTTATAATGAAATGCAGTCAAGAATAATTTTTCTAGCAAAATGCAGTAAAGAAGGTGATAATGGTCTTTCTTATCAGTTGTGTACCTTCAAAGATGTTTGAGCTCTTGACCTGTATTTCTTCCTGTTTGTTCTTTTTTTTAAACTGGTTTTTATTTTTTTTAATCCTGTCAGTGAGCAGCATTTCCCAGTTTTACCCCCACAGAACAAGTTCTTGGCAGCTCCAGCAGGTGGGATTGCAGGCTGCCTCTGTGATTAGGGTCCGTGCTGCATGGCTATCATTTGGGCACACGGGCGGGCAGGAAGGCTGGGTCTGTCTAGTGTCTTGAAGCAGCTGTGGTGGGTGCCTTCTTCCTTTCTTTATATACATATATATAAATATATATATATAGTTTATCCTTGAAGTTGTGTAAAGGTTTTGTTATGGTTTCATCTTTTGGAATATTCTCTCTTGGAAGTAAAATGGAGAAGGTTTTTTTACATATTATTTTTCATTCTGTTCAGTCTACTCTTGCAGTTGGACACTTAATTTGGCTTATGGTCTTTGGAAGGAGTAGAGTCATCCATTTCCACTGAGTTCTGTTGGTGGTACTGAATCAAATTTGATAAAATTTTGCAAATTTCTACTTAGTGCTCTATCAAGGTCTTCTCCAAATTTTTGGTTTGTGAGTGTGTATTACCCCTTCAATGATAGCTACCTTGTTGTCCCTATGGAATAAGGAACGATGGAATAATATTTCTAAACATAAAATACAGCCTTTAAGGGTTTTTATTTCCTCTTTCCAAATCTCATGTTGTCAACAAAGGTCTTTGTTTCCCTCCTCATAATGTTCAAAATGATCTGCCCTTTTATGAATGCCTTGAGACTATCGCACAAAGCTAACGGTGAGGGAGCAGATGCCTCATTCGATTCCAAATAGAAGGAAATCTGTTGTCTCAAATAATCCCTAAATTCAGACACTTTCAGACAGCTATTATCAAGAGACCACATTCTAAGAGCAGATGTGTTATTAAGGCTGAGAAATGTTATGAGGACTTCGTGATCTGACAAATGATTTCAATCTATCCAACATTCCAACATTTCATCTTTTAATAAATTAGAGATTAAAATATCCATCTTGGGCAGACAAGTTGTATAAGGTAGTTGGGAACTGGAGTTGTAGCTGATACTTCATTTCGATGCAAAACATCCCTTAAATTATGCTTACAGATCCCTCTTATATATAAAATCTGTTCATTTGACTAAAGCTATTATGATGTATTTTAATCTCCATATTCAATCCAGTAGCTCCTTCCCACGGATAACAGAACACAGCCCCTGCCTTTCAGTGAGGAATGAAAAACAAATACGTCCAGTCTTCAGTTGTCCCACTTAAATGTGCTCCATCATTTCTTTATACCATTAAGTTTACCGTTATGTGATTACTCTATTTAGAGCCTTTTCAGCGAGGCAATTACTGGAAATTCTGCTGAGGGCTAACTAACACTCCTTTTCTTGTCTGCTACTAAACCTCTTTTCTCTCTCTCTCTTAAGATGCAATAGAATGCTTATACTCTTTGGATAATAGACTCTTCTTTTGGGTTCAAGTGAATGTTTTAAACCAGCTCTATTCAGAATCACAAAACGTACCACCCATAGCAAAGTGTACATTCCTCAGCATTGACAACCTGCTTATTATCCACAGGTTGTACTTTGATCTCCTGAAAATACGTGTGGTGCCATGAGATTTTTACATAATCCTATCATTGTCAAACATAATAAAACTTAGATCCAGGTGAGCATCAATTAGCGTAAATAACTTGAAAAGCAGCAAAGGAGCCCGAATTCTCTTTGGCAGAGATGTCTCCAACTGTACCCATGTGGAAATTTACATTCCACCTGGCCTCGTGGAAAATGGGTAATAAAGTGGTCTTGACCTGTTTTCTTTAATTGTCTGAAATTGCTCTCCTGGCTCAACGTCTGAAGATGCTTCCTCAGTATGAAAGTTGGGAACAGAAAATAAATCATCTCCTAATATTCCCCTCTGACAGGTAATAATTTTATCTCAGACCTTAAGATCAGCATTTGACAACCAAATTCAGAAAACAAAGGACACTTACATTGTAATTTTCAAAATGTGTTAAACTGTCGAAATCCTAAATGTGGAAACGGAGCACGACAAAAAGAATGCAGCCTCGCAGCTGGCCAGGGGGGCAGCTCTTCTCTTTGCTAGCAGTCTTGAGTCCATAGCCTGATCCCCTGGGGGTTCCCTCTCGCCAAAACACTTCTGATTTTTCTACCCTTGACAAATTTAAGTTTTATGGTTGTCATCATCCAAAACTTACTCTCTTACTCATTCATTCAACATTTATTTATGTGCAACATGAAACACAAGTGTTTGAAAAGCCTTTGGAAAACAGACATTTAAAGAAACTTGCTACAGACCACAAAAATGATGTAATTTTGACCTAGTTGCCATGAACTTCTTAAGACCACAAGGCTTGTATGAGGAGTTGAAAGAGAACAGTTTCAGTGATAACTTTGTAATTTGCCTGCTTTGCGATGTGAGGCGTGTCTCTAACAGCTTCCTGCCTCAGAGTCCTAATCTCTCTAAAACAACCGACAGTGTATAAGCATGTGTTGGGCACTTTGGGGAATACAAAGATACTCAGACACAGTTTCTGACCTTGTTTAACTTCCAGTAGTTACGAGGGCGGACAGAAACGTAGGACACCACCAGAGAGAAGAGGTGCTCTTGGTAAGACAGGCACAGGTTGATAGGCAAGTTCAGGGAAGCAAATCACTATTTGCATTTGGGGAGGTGGGAAAGGAAAATGCATTCAGTTTGAGCTTTATGGAATAGGCAGGGTTTGGATGTACAGAAATAGGTAGGTTTTCTCTCAGGCAGAGGGAGCATGAGGAGAAAGCACAGAGGTGGGATGAAGCACCAGGGTTAGGCTCAAGTTCAAAGAAAGTGCCTTGTTGCTTGCTTCCTTGCTTGTTTATTTTTGGTGGGGAATACTCTTGATCTCATTTCTAGGCTCGGGGCATCGGTCCAAGAAACTATTTTAAAGGTGTGTTGGGGGAGGGGTGGGAAAACAATGGCATAGAGTCGTAGAGTTCTGGATCAGGTGTGGGGCACGGGGCCAAGGGGAGGGACGTTGTGGAGAAATAAGATGAGGTGGAGCCAAGAACAAGTGTGTGCAGGGGTTCGGGCAGAGCTCAGGGGAGCTGGGAGTCCATACCTAATGGCATCTGTGTTCTCAATGACAGGTTGGCATCTGTTGAGTCGAAGGAGCCAGGGGGTGAAGGCTGAGACTGATGAAGATTCAGACTCCTCTGATGAAATCAATGGGGAAAGAGGCCAACTCTGTTTATGTGGAAGAATTGCTGAGCAGTCCTGAGGGCCCGGCTGAAATTAGAATCACGCATTTACAGTGGAACCAGACAGGATGGTGATTGCCTCTAAAAATCTCAGTAGGGGAAGATCCAGGAAAAAGAAACATGAAGATGGAGGAAACATGATGGAGCCAGGCCATGGAGCAAGTGGAAGGAGCAAGGGATCAGTACTGAAACACAGTAAGTAAAAAGATGGAAGCCCTTGCTGGGTTTGAGGGACGTCTTGGAGAACTAGATAGTTACTATTTTCTTTGAATAAGAGGGAGGGAGGGTTTTCAGCAAATTTTGTTTCCCTGAGAATTAATATATTGAGCATTTAATTGTGCCAGCTCCAATTAAAACTGACAAGTAAGTAAATTTTCAAGGATACATTTTAGTGAACATTAGAAAATAATAGCAAGGAAGCATTCAAATGAAGCTCTTGCTCCCTTTCGTGAATTCATTCCTAACGTAGACAACACTTGGAAAATAGTCTAATTCAAGAAAGTCAAATATACTTAAACTAATAAACCAACTCTGCTTGCTTGATGGTGGCTGCTTGGAGCTTTGTGTTAAAAATTCTGAGGATCAACATGAAATAGTGTTGCGGTCAATGTGTGATGGCTGGTGAGGTCACTGAAGAGGTGAGTGGGGAATATACAGCACGTACCTGCCATCCATGCAGTATAGATAGAATATAAAAGTTTTGCCTTTCCTCTTACATTGTTACCAAAGTAGTATAAAATCATGTGCGAATCACTTAATTCGTTTACTTGAAATGAAATATATTGTATATCTATATAGATTGCAAAAATTTTTATTTGTTAAGCCCTCTGAGCTCTTGCATAGAAGATGCCACATAATTACAAATTATAATAATGCCAGCAATACATTGTGTGAAATGTGTCTTATCTTTTACCCCAACTAAATTACTAACAGGAGAAATACTTGGTTTAAGTGAACTATGTCCATGGAAACATGACTCTAATATCTTATAACTGCTGGAAGCTTTAAAGACACTTGGACTTGAACAGGCTGATAAAAATAAAGAGAAATGCAGTGGTTATTTTATATTACCAAGGACAAGAAGAGAATGAGTGTTTGCTGAGACCTACTTTAGGTTCTTTGTGTATGTTCTCATTTGAGTAACCTGCTAAGTTGGGGTAGTGTGGGAGGCTGAGGGAGGCAGTGATTTGCTCAGGCAGAAGGCTCACAAGTGGCAAAGGTAGAGGCCAAACCCAGGTCTTGCTGGCGTCCAGTCTATCTTCCTTCCATCACTAGGAAAGAAGTGTTACCACCTCTGCACATGGATAACCTATTTGGACTAAAAATAAATGCTAAAACAGTATCAGTTTTGCACATAATATGAGGTAGAAATTATGATAACCACAATGCTGGAATTGTACATCCTAACAGATTGCTCCCACTTTTTTATCAGCAGAAAGAGAGGTTTTTAAAATGCATCCATCTAGGTTTGCTTTAGAAACAGATCAGTAAGGAAGGCAAAATTGTACAAGTGGATATTGTCAATGGGTACTTACTGAACATCCATGTGTGTGAACTAGAATTGAGTGACCTTTGATAACACTCATCCAGTCCCACCTGGTCCCTCTTTTTTGTGCTATTAGAGCCTAGATAGGGGGGTACACTTTTTCTCATAACCTTTTGGCAAAAACTTGATGCCAGTCCAGGAGAGCCAGGGCCACACTGGCCAGCTGAGCATGACAGAGGTACTGACGAACTAAGAGACAAAAGTAACAAGTGAAGTGAAAATTCTCTGAAAATTCAAAGGCAATGCCAGCTTGCCATCCTGCAGAGGGGGTTCTGGGGTTCAAGTATAAATAGTTTTTCCAACTGAAAAACAAATCTAACATATTAAGTGTTTCATTGAAGTCCCCAATTATGTCTAGAGTTTAGCACTGAGTTTATTTTAAAATATATCTGGAAAAGCTGGTGTCCAAATTTTCCCATAGACTTACACATGATGAGAATCTGTCTCTTTATATTTAGCTGCAGGCCATCTAACAAGTTCTTGGGCGAAACACATTATTTTGCTGGTACAAGAAGAATAAATACTGTATTTGGAAAGTTCCAGTGTTCTTTAAAATATTGCTGTTTCCATAGCAATAACATAATGTACTAAAGAGTAGAATAGTGTTTCTTTAGAAATCACGTGTATGGATGCATGTTTCCATGAAGGATTTTGAAGCATCTCACCTGCTTGTGGTCCAAAAATGGAACAACAATAGTTAGTGGAATCAATCATCATCCTTTGAAATGGAACTTGGCCAGTTTTTACTGCCTGGTTGTATGTCAGCCTTCTGCCTTTGGTCAAATGTGCACTTTCTTAGGCTCTATGCTCTTAGACGGTAGACAATTGACTTATATTCATTCATTAATTCATTCAGCCAACAAGTATGGATTAAGCACCTAAATGCCAGTTCTAGGCACTGGGAACTCAGCGACAGTGTGGAGCTTACATTCCAAAGGGGGAAACAAGGAAATTCTCTTTAAACAAGAAATGTCACATCATGTACAAAGGGACATATAAAAGTGCTCCTGGATGATGTTCGTGATGTTTTAAATACTTCACAAGAATACAACATCAAAGAATAGCATGTTGATAAGGTAAGGAACAGGAGGGACTAAGAGACAAGGAGAGAGGGCCAGGAACAGTGGTAACTGATAAAGTGGTTCCCAGGTTGTCCTGCCAGGGACGCAGATGGCAGTCCCAGGCTGAGCCTCACATATTAAAGGTACCAAGGGTGTTTTAGGGGGGCGTCTAGTTAAGGTATCACAAACAAACATAAAGACTGGGGAGTGAGCTCTGTGTGAGCGGATGCTTTTGGGGAAGATGGGCTGCATCCTTACAACTGTGCGACTGTGGTCTCTAAAACTCATGCTAGGCTGGAAGACTCCCTTTGAATACCTCCCTCTTCTTCATTCTGACTTGGAGTTGGGTGCCTTTGCCTTTCTGCCATCTTCCACATTTGTCTCCTGTGCTGATTTTGTGCTGGTGAGCCCCACTTTGCTGTGTACCCCCAGCCCCAATTCCCAGAGCTGGGAGAGTGGATGGCGGGGGCAGGAATGTCACTGGTTAACTAATGGCCATCTGGCATCTGGCAAGGGGATGCAGGTCACAAATGTCTCCATGCAGGGTCACCACTATTCAGAGAGAGAACAGTAAAAGGAGCAGAGGGTCCCACCCCCTCCCTGAGGCCACACATCTTTGTCTCCTGCACAAGGCTCCACTGTGCTGTCAGTAGCAAAATCTTGAAATATTTAATGTATTAAGAGACCCGTGTCTCTCTGCCGTGGGCACAGTCCTTTGAGCTGCAGCCTTGCTAGTGCTCTGTCATAGGCAAGAAGCAACCTCTTGGCTCTCCCAAACTTGAAAGGTTTGGCTTACTGTCTACATTGCTCCAAAAAGCTCTTGGTTGCAAACACTTCTCAAGCCGCCATGGGAGCAGAAAGAGCTTTGTGGGCCAGATGTGGGGTCACAGAGTCAAAGAGGCTCCCAGGGTGGCCACCCTTTCTTCAGAATCAGACAAGTTGCCCAGCTTCCCCAGATGCCTTCCTAGACCCTGCTCATAAATCAGTACACAGCAAGGTCACAAAAAGAGTGCTGAAATGTAAGCACATATTTTCAAGTGAAGCATTTCAAAGTTTTGCTTTTGCCCCCTTGCAGGGCCAGAAGTCCCAAAGGGGGTTGGGAAGGGGGTATCTAACTCTATTAGGAGGTGAATTTTTGGTTCCCAACCACCCAGTTCTTTTAACCACTGGGATTCTCCCCAGATGTTCTTTCTTACATGCAAAGGCATCATTTTCTTGCCAAGAAGTGGAATGATTGATCAAGCCTTCTTTAAATCATTTCATCTTATCCATTCCCATCTGAAGGAGCAGGTATTGCATTAATATTAATATTCTTATTGTCTCCCTCGAGAGAGAGAAATGCCCCTGTAACCCCCCATCCCAATTACTGCCAGCACCACGGAGATAGGAAGTTAGAGAATGAAGCCACCAATGCAGGAGCTACAGTTGTTTTATTAGCAACAGCTGGTGGCAGTCCCCTGACCATTTTTTTTTAATGCTATGCTTGTCAGGTTCAGCTTCTTGAGACTGGATGGCAAAGGGTAAAACAAGAACGTGGCATAATTCAGCTTTTTGTATGCAAAAAAAAAATGAGGATTTATGCTAAAGAGGATGTGGGCAATATCGGGACGCTGATTAAGAAACTTCACAAAAGAATATCTTCTTTCAATATTGTGTAGGTAACAGCTGAGCAATTAGACAAACATACTGAGTAACTGAAACCACCTGTAGGATTTGAAAAAACACTCTTTCTTTCTCATTTGTCCGAGATACTTTTATAGGAATAGAAATGTGGGCTGCACATGTCTTACATTTCTCCTCGTTGTAACTTTATGTTTATGATCAAGGGTGGAGTTTGCAACACCAGAGCTCCTTCTAACTGTGTTGGAAACCATTGAGCATCAAAAGGAAATCTGTACCATTTGCCCAGCAGAGAAATAAATCTTTCTTTACTGACTTTTGCCTTGATTTCTGTCAGAGAAGCCCAAAAGGACACTGTTTCATCTTATGTCACATTGGGAATTCAAGGTAGCATTTTCAGGTATATTACATACACATATGGAATGTATATTTAACAGAAACTTTTGGCTGGTTAAACAAGTGTCCTTTGTAATTGTAGCTATTTAATTTTGATTGTTTTCCTAATCTCATCAAAATTGAATGATTTTCATATTTATTTCAAATAGACAATTACATATAATTTCATATATGTATATTAATGAACAAATACCATACCGTTGGAGTTATGCAACCTCTCTAATTTTATGGAATACCAATTGTACATCATGCAACTAAGAACACATGACTTTGCATATGAAACATGTTAAACATATTATTAGAAAAAGGGCATGGTTAAGAAATGTATTGCTTAGTCAAGTCCCTAAATAATGACTATTGGGAAGAAAATGGTTAACATAATCCCAAATGTGGATCTGTATGTGCCTACCTCTCGGGGAAAGAGACTAAAATGATGCCAAAGGGAAAGAAGTTTTGGCCACCCTTTCTATTTCTTTCATGTGTAACAAAGTCAAGACATATATTTCTTCCCTACGGATCAAATATTCTTAAAAATAAAAATTTCTAAATGTAACAGCAACACTTACAGGACTAATGCATTGTACTGCAATGGAATCTTAAAAACAGCAACAGTAGTTCTACTGTGAACTGCCTGGTCTCTCCAGAGAGTGCCATTTCATGGACTGTGCACTCCCTGCTCTTCTTTTCATGGTCAAATCAGAGGGACGTCCACTGCAAAGAAAGCGGCTACTTCTGCCATCAGCAGCCGTGGTCTGCTTACGTATGGTTTTTCTGTCTCTGATAAGTTTAGTGAGTGCAGACCTGGAGATCCATTTGCTTCTTTTAACTTATGAAACACAATTTTTTAGGAGGAAGAATGCACTGCATTCTAAATGAATGTTGGAATGTTATTTTTAGACGGGCTAAAAATTGTTGTGGGAGGCAGGATAAAGGTCCCCAAGGATGCCCAAACCCTAATCCCTAGAACTGTGACTATGTTATTTTACACAACAAAACCCCACAAAAATCAAACAAACAAAAAAAACCCTTCACAGATGTGATTAAATCAAGTGTTTTGTGATGGGGAGGGTATCCTGGATTATTCAGGTGAACCAAAGTAATCACAGGAGTCCTTAAATGTGAAAGAGGGAGTCAGAAGGGTCAGAGGGAGATGTGACTACAGAGAAAGGGTCAGAAGATGTGGTATGAGGAGTCAACTCACTGTTGCTGGCTTTGAAAATGGAGAAAGGAAGTCATGACCCGAGGAATGCCGTGGCCTCAATAACCTGGAAAAGGCAAGGAAGTGGACTGTCCACTGAACTCTCCAGAAAGGAACAGAACCCGGTGGACACCATGATTTTAGTCCAGTGAGGCCTGGGTCAGACTTCAGCCCTCCAGAGCCATAAGGCAACAGTTGTTTTAAAGCCCTGAGTTTATGGTAACTTGTTACAGCAGCAAGAAGAAACTAATACACTTGTTATTCATGTTTCTTTTTGTTTCTGAGGATTCTATTTGGAATTAATGACTGACTAATGACGCCAGAATGCTGTACCAGGAAAACTCACTAAAACTCATACCCAGACAGAGAAGAAAAGGGATATGGAAGGATGAGACTGTGCCCCAAATGAGTAAGTGTAACAAAACTATTTATCATTTTAATTATATTTTAATGACAGTCCCTCAGAGGAAGTTGTGATTTGAATTTCAAGAATGGTACACCTTGGGTTGGCATGACTGACATTTGGTTTTATTTAGAATTTGAAGAGAATGACAACACGCTTTCATGTTAATGATTTAGCAAGTAGTAATACAAAATCTAAATTTTAATGCCTGCATTTTTGGTTAATATGTTTATCTCACAACAAACTAAGAAGACAAAAACAAAATCAATATCTTTAATGTTATTCAAGGGCCATCTTTTAAATCTGTGGGAGAAGCCTTGATCAAATGGTTCCTTTTTGCTTCATTCTCTTTCATCAGGGAAGTCAGAGGTAGACAAGATTCACTAGATCATAAATTAATGATCCTATGTTAATGCAGATGCCCCTGCTAATTAATAAAGGAAAGTAAAATGTGAAGCTTGAATGTATAAAATAGCTTTCAGCCTAGGAGAAAGATCAAAAATTCTTTTCCTCATATCTAGACAAAATTTGATCATGTTTTACACTAAAAGTAGATTTATAAAATCCTGACCCTAAAGCTTAGTCTCAGTGGTTCTTCTTGAACAGATTTTCTCCCAGACAGAGGAGCAGGCACAACTGGGCAACGTCAGAGCAGACGGAGGAAATTCCCACAATGCTGTGTTGCTAGACAGCATCCCCAAGTGCGTCACCGGTTGCTGGAGCCACCTTTTGTCTTTCCCCAACCCCTTTACTGGTTACCAGGACTTCCTTCTTGTGGATTCCAGGTACCTGGTGTATTGGGAGCAATAAGCCTCAGAGAAGATGCACCTCCTGTTTGGGAGTGTAATGCTATGAAATAGCACACTTAGGAATGGAAGCTCATAAGAATCAACATAAATAAATACAGAAGCCAAATTTCATTTATGACCTAGCATCAGAAATTACATGCCAATGTATCTGTAATATTGTATTGATTACATGGATCATCTTTACTTGTTGTAGGAGGGGACATGACAGTGAGGAGGTGAGCCTCATGGAGGGCCATTCTGGGGGGCTAACTACCACCCAACAGATTATCTTTTTTCAAAGACATTCATTAGTTTTGGCCCTTTTGACTTCAACCTACAGAAATACTTCCTCCAGAACTGACAAGTTTATGCAATTGTCTGCCTTCATTCTCTTCCTCCAGAGTGGTAGCACCCATGTGATGACTGTAGGGCCTTGACTGGAAAGATTAATATTGTTATCATGAAAAAAAAAATCTACCAAGTAACTCAAGCCCATGAATAATCTCTGTGCTCTGAAAGAAAGCCTTTCTTTCTTCTCAATGCAAACAAGCAAACAATAACAAATAACTTCTGCCTGGGTTTCAGCCAAATACTTTAAGACTTGAGATCTGGGGAGAAACTGACTTTATATGGGTAAAGGAGGAATGCCATATTCTCCACTTCCTTAACAAAGTCTCTTGAGTAGTATCTCTTCTCCATTACACATAGTTAATGGATAATCAAGGTTCTGAAGCTGATGAAATTGATACATTTTACACAGTAGTGGACACAATTTCAAAACTGTTGGCCAAGTTTTAGATGTGAGTGCATGCCAATGCCAAAAGCAATGAGACACAATGGTATGTTGTGTTTCGTTATTTGCCAAAGAAGCCAAACCAAGTTGATGCCAAGCATAGCATGTGCTTCATCAGTTCAACAAGTACAGTACCAAAATTTTGCATCCAGATCAGACCTTTGTTTGGCAAAGAAACTTTTAGCAATTTGGGAGATGTCAATGGCCTCTGAGGTTCCAAAAGGGACTCACAATACAAGAGTTCTCTTGTATCGGAGTATACTTAATGGACAAAAGCCAAGAGTTAGATGCATTGAAAGATGTCAGTAACTGTCTTCAAGGGCAATGGCGTATTAGCCAAATCTTCCATGACATTCGTCAAATGGCTAAAAGAAATGATTGAAAGAACTGCTGGTGATTCTGGAATAGATGACTTTATATGTCAGGGATACAGTTTCAATATTCCTTCTCTCATCCAAACTAGAAGCCTTTTAAATATTTTCCAGGACACTTGGTTTCATAATTGTATGTGGCTTCTTTTCCTTAGAAATACTAAAAGCAGCTTTGATAGACGCATGAAAACAATGTTTTTTGTGTTTATAGAGGCACAGCCACATTTTGGTAAGGTTCCAGCCAAAAATATCTAGCTTGCCTGATGTGCTGAGAGGATGGACAGTTTAATGGGATTTGTATTTCCACTGGGAGGATCTGGGCCACATAAGAACTCTGTGGCTTTTGTATCCCATGATGGTCAGTAGTAAAAGTAGAAACAAAGATGCAGAAGACTTAATCAGTTGTTTCTTTTCCATGACATTTCCCCCAACTTAACTTGGGCCTGATTAAAAAGGCAGAGATGCCAGGATATATTTCCTTTCATTATTATCTATAGGAAACTAATCTCATTGCTGTATCATGGGGGTGATGACGATTTTTGCCTTACATGACCATGTTCCATAGCATTGTTTGCATTTATGAGAAGCAAAATGGTACCATAACAACAAGGTTGATATTAAACATGATTTTTAAAAAAAAATAAAAGCAACTATCAAAGCCATTGAAAGGCAAAACAACAGAAAAATAATATTCTCTCAAGGCTCATCCATGAATTCTGTTAAGGACTGAATGTGTCCCTCCAAAATTCGTTTGTTGAAACCCTGCCACAGGTGGGACCTGTGGGAGGTAATTAGGGTTAGAGATGACATCATGAGGGTGAAGCCCTCATGAATGGGATTAGTTCCCTTATAAGAGTTGTGATCATCCCCTCTCTGCTCTCCGCCTTGGGAGGACACAATGTAAAGTCACAGTCTGCAGTTGGGAAGAGAGCTCTTGCCAGAACCTGGCCATATGGGCACCCTGATCTCAGGCTTCCAGCCTCCAGAACTGTGAGAAGTAAATTTCTGTTGTTTATAAGCCACTCAGTCTACGGCACTTTGTTATAGCGACCCAAATTTGTCCAAGGCAAATTCCCTAGGAAACCATGCCATATTTACTTGGTTTCTTGTCTTTCCCCCACTGGACTGAGTTGCTTGTGGTCAGGAACTGTGTCTTTAATCTCTTTGTCCTGACAATATTATTACTTATAACAACCATGCAGAACAGAAGTTACTGGGCTTTCCATACCATCGACCTCAGAACAGTGAACTGTGGTGCTGGTTGCATAATGAGCGTTCACTAAAAAACCTACAGAAGAAATGAATGAATGCATACCTGAGAAAAATAACTTGTCAGTGTATCTCTACCACTAGCTGGGGAAAGGAGTCCCTTGATAGAGATATTCCAATCTAGGTGGCAGGTCAGCTTTTCTTTTGTCCGTGAGCATGCCAGGCTATCACAATCTCAAGAGTAATGAACTTGAGATCAGAGGACCTGGGTTCAATTTATATCTCTACTACTTGTTTGCTGGGGAACAGGTTTCTACTGGCTATTTTACGCCTTCATATTGTAAATATTTGTTGCTTATCTATTTACGCTCAATGGAGATGCTAGGAATATCAATGAACCACTCTGAGCCTTGATTAACTAACCTATAACACGAGAACATTAATTATACAAGATTGCTATGAGGGTTAAATAAGGTTGAGTGAGATAACATGTGAAAGTACCTAGAATCTGTCACAGTGCTTGACATACAGTAGGTGTTTAATAAAATTTAAACCCATGTTCAGCCGATCATCCAGCTCCCTTTGCTCTGACCATATTCACCAAACAACCGTCTCAGGCTAATTTAATTTCTCAAGAAAACTTCTGGACTAGAAGTAAAAAGTACTGGTGTCATGATGTGAATGTTCTCATCTTAAGTGCAAATTTGCTTCCAGATTCTTGCTTAAAAATCAAGTTTTGAGTGTTTGTGTGTGTTGATTATTGTGAGTCATTTTCCAGAGGCTATCACTCCTGGGTGAACTAATATAAAATAACCAGCTTCCTAGACTTACAAATCTGAGGACCAGACCTGGACTTGCAATGACCACATTAAGGGCAGATACCTTTGGAATCTCAGACTCGGGCAGAGGACTTGTATGTTTCCCCATCCTCTCCTCTCCAGCCCCAAACACTGGAAAAATCCATTAGCTTTTGCCTTTAGCGATTGAGCCCACAAAGGAGGTGGAACAAGATCTTGGGATGGGATCAGCCGGCACAAAGGACTCGGGTTCGCTCATTCATTCGGCTAAAATTCTCTGAGCATTCATTGTGTGCCAGCCTCTGTGTCAGGTCTTAGTGATGACAGAAGGAAAAAACAGGGTCCCTGCCCTTGAGAGTTCAGGATCTGGGATGAGCTTGTGTATCGGTTTGGAGAGTGTGTCAGGTGTCTGCCTAGTTCACAGCTTTGCGTGAACCTGCCAAACAAAAACTGGCTCCAAGTGAGAGATTACGTGTATCTCTAAGTGTTACTAGACATATATACATATATACTTGCACATCATGGGAGGGCTTGAACTTTAGAAAAACTGCATCACAAGAGCAAGCTGACTTCCTATACTGCAGTCACTGAGAGGTAGGTTTAGACTCTGACACGTTGGAAGCTTCACCTAGTTGCCTCATCTATAAAATTGTGTTACTGAATATTTTGTTTGTAAAGAGTGCATATTTAATTCATTCATTCACTCCCTTACTTAACAACCATTTATTGAGAGCCTGCCGTGTGCTAGGAATTGTTCTGGTCTCAAGACTGAGTTTGGCTCCGCAGATTCAAATCCTTCCCATCAGTCTAATTCCAGCTTCAATCTTACTCTCTCCAAATTATCAGCCAGATCCTGGTGTCTAATCCCTCTGAATGCCTGTACTTTCACCTTTACCTTATCTTTGGGTAATTATTTAAAATTTAATTGAAATTTAACATATGTGCAAAAAGTATACATAAGTTGACATGATTACAACTGAATATACTCATATAATCATCACCCAGATTGGAAAAACCCAGAAAGCGACCAGCACAGTAGTCCCTTAACCACAGTCCCCCAAACAAGGGTGATTACTATCCTGACTTGTAACAGCACAGAGGAGTTTTGACTGTTTTGTACTTTTTATTAATGGAATCATCTTTAGGCATTTATAACCTACTGCCTGGGTTGCTTTAATTTCTAGATTTTGTGGGTTTTTTAATGATGAGAATGCAAATTTCTTTATGTAACTTTGGTAGAAAAAAATCAGAATCTGGAACACGTATTGGATGGAAAGCATTAAACTGAGTGCTGTTCAGCCTCGTCCCTTCACCCAAGCTCCTGGAGATGCAGACTTAAGAACTTGTCTGAGAATGGGATCTAGCTTTTTATTCCAGTCATCATTGCAGGATACTACTGTGAGTGCACATGTATGTAAAATTATTCCAGGTCAATTTATCACTGCCTAATTAAAGCAGCATTTCTGAAAATGTGCATGAGAATAAAAAATAAGGTGTTTTTTTCCATCCTAATAGTATTAATGGAGAGTTCTCCAGACTGGAGACCTTACTGCTGACCTTTTGGGTTTATCTTAAACGCTGTTCTTAGCCTCGTAGCTTCCTTCTTGTGACTTTATTGATTGACAAGAGAAGAGTGTCACGGGGTCCCATTAGTGATGGTGTGACAGGTGATTTATCTTCCTCTCCAACCTAGGAAACACCAAGCTGCCATAATGCTAGTGAAAGATCCTTTTACTCCTGGCCTATTCTCATGTTCCTTTTTGTTTTCTTTTGTTATTTGTTTGACAGATTATCAGCATTAACTCTTGCTAAAAGCCAGGCAGGTCCTTTGTCAAGAACCAACATGCAACCCTCCTGAGAATATTTTTCTATGTAGCTTACTTTCATTTTCAGCCTTGGTACCAGCCTTCCCAATCCCCAGTATTCTGGTGGGTATTGACCTCTACTCTGCCCTCAGGACCGTAGCAAATGAGTTGTTCTCAGACATAAGGAAGGAAGCCCTTGAAATGTCGCTTCCCTATGGAGCCATTCTGGGAAACACTGACCTAGCAAATGGCCCCAGCGTATTCCCTGAGGATGCCCATCTCCAAATCGCCACAAACAAATTCTGTAAAGTCACAGAAGTTCAAGATGCTTAAAGGGCCTCAAGGGAGTAGGAAGACAGTGGTTGAATGATCAGGGACAAGCCAGCAGACAGAAGCCTGCAGTTCAGGGAGCAAGCTCCAGGTGGTGGAGCTTGAAATATCCAAGGTTTTCTGCTCACTGCTTCTGTTGATAGTTTTATTGTTGCCAACTCAATGTTGGACAGTGTACAAACCGGGGACAGACATCCCACATTCTAGATCATTAGTCCATCTTCTGACTCCCCATCACGACATCCGCATTAACCCTTTTAGAACTCTATCTCTTATAGGCAAGACTGAGACAATCACTTCAAGATCCACAGAGTCATTTCCAACCCTTTCCTCCCATTACCTGCACACTGATACTCTTTCCTACTATTCGTAAGGAGAAGTATCATAAAAATGCTATCAAGCAAGAGCGCTAATAAACCAAATGCGCCTCCAGCGTATTGGTTCATATTTTGTTGCTTCCTTTTGTTCAAGCTGCGGTTTTCCCATTTTACCAAGTAGGTGAATGGAAGGGGAGCAGAGTGTGGGGACCTCAGGGGCAGATTCAGAAACACCTTTTCTTATCCCTTACTTTTGTTAGGATGGTGACCATCAGTGCCAATGACTGACCTGCACATCTTCCTTCGTTGCCATGGCAGCAACTAACAGGGTCTCCAGTTGGACCCAAGGGCTTGGGAAACAAAGCCATGGGAAAATATGTTTTCTTGACCCTTTGCAGGAAATCCTGCCCAACACACACAAGAATGCAGCATTTCCTGGACCGTCAGTTGCTCAGGTCCAGCCATCAAGGGTGGGCTTGAATGAGCCTGGAAAAGATGCTCACATTCTCAGTGAATTAGAAAATCTGAAAGTCATGACCAATGTATAAAGATGCCAACATACAACAAAACCCTGGCATGAATTAGTCGGGCCTCTGTGAAAAAAAATGACATGTATGTTTCAAAATAGACTAAAAGAAGGGAGATACATATTTGACCCTGACATTGCCCATTTTCCCTGCTTCATTTTCAGCTGCTTCCAAAGTTTCTACCCACCGAGATCAACAGGGTAAGATACTGGTCTGAAAGAAAGAAAAGGGAGGTCTGTCTCATGACATTAGAAACAAATGATTGTTCAATATCCTTATTCTAAAAGCCATGGCTCTAAATTAAAGGGGGGAAAATGCAAGCTACTATTTCCTTCCCTGGGTCCTGGGGGAGGTCACAAGAGTAGGTAATGCACAGCTGTCTTGCTCTGCACTGGCCTCTCAGGTGGTGACATAGAGCAGCGATGGTGTCTGCAAATAAACATACCGAGAGAAACATCTGTCTTCCTGCCCCTCTCTTTTCCAGACAAATGGCACTTAAGATTTCCATTTTGGACTTGTTAAGTGTTCCCCCCAATACCAGCTTCTGTGTTAACCACACCTCCTTCTTTTCTTTTTTTTTTTTCAATGAAATACAGTCAGTTTACAATGTATCAATTTCTGGGGTATAGCATAGTGTTTTGAGTCATCTGTATACAGGCATGTATTTGTTTTCATATTCTTTTTACTCTTTTTCTTTGAATCTGTTGGTCACTTTTCTTGACTAGCATTTTAAGATAAAAAAACAAAGATGACAACAGCAAAGTGCAGGCAGACCTCTGCCACTGTAGGATTAAGGACAAAGAGGTGAAGAATCCACCTCTTGGAATGGAGTGTTACAAGGATGCAGATAATTCTTTTCTTCCTTCTTAAAAGAAATCAGGAGAGGCAGTGTT